TATGGAAGGGCATCTATCCAACTAAATTGGCAGAAGGGCTATTGATGCCGGCTGGTACTTTGTCTTTGGTTGGACTTGGAAATAGCAGATAAAAAATTTGTTTTTAATTCTTCTATATGTCTCTCTCACTGCCATCTTCACCAGCCAGTCATTGCCATCTCTCTCTCTCTTGCTCATCTTCTTTTTAAACCTTTCGGTGCTCTAAAAGGAAACATTCAAACATGAAATATCTAACGGGATATGCACAATTGCCATTATCTCTTCACACCTGAGGCTGTCACAGTTTGCCAAAATCTCTCTCTCTCTCTCTCGATATAGGACTTCAAAATTCTATTGAATTACAATAGTAGTCCACGCACTCCAAACTCTGCTTTTAGTCGTTCTTTCATGGCAAACAGACCCAAAACAAGCCTAAGGTTCAGTTAGTTAAAATCATATATGCTTGCTTGTGCTTGAAGATTTCATCTCCAACTGCTTGAAAAGCAAGCAGTTTCTGTTAAAAAGATAGTCGAATTTTCTGGGAAAAAAGTCGAGGAATGTATGGTGATTCCCGAGCATACTCGGCGGATTCGATTGCTATATTTCCTTCAACTTCGCAACCCAAGAGAGAAGAGATTGCAAAGAGCAAAGAACCGTCGATGGACTCTGAGAGTAGAATCAACTTTCATGACTACAGACAGTATCAGCACTACCAGAACAATTCTGGGTTGTTGAGGTTCCGCTCAGCTCCGAGCTCTTTGCTTGCAAGTTCCACAGATGGGGTTGTTAAGAATTGCAATTCGAATCAAGAACATCAAGGGTTGAATTCAAGATTTAGTTCCTCTACCAGGAATGGAACTTTGATTTCAGAGAGTTTTCATGATTTGGAAGATAATAAACCTTTGGATAATGGGTCTTATTCCTTGAGTTCACAATACCCACCTCAGTATCCGAGACAAGTTACAGGAACCCAAGTGTATGGTGTGGATTATAGGGTTGTGAGTTCAATGGGAATGGAACATCAGGGGCAAGGAAAATTGGGTTCCAATCTCATGAGGAAAAATAATTCCCCAGTTGGGTTTTTCTCTCACCTCACTGCTCAAAATGGTATTGTTCATCTTCTTGCTCATTGATTGCTTCACCCTTTGATCTTTGTGGGACTCTTTTCATTCAGTTTTAGTCTATACGGCTGAGTGGGATTTGATTTATTCAATTTGTAATTGATTTCTGCAGAAACTATGCATCTCAATATGGATGGATTTGCTATCTGGAGTTCTAATTTCACCTAATATATATGTGTTTTTTTTTTTTGCTATAGGATTAACTAAGAAGCTCATGATGTGTGGACTGTGGAGCACTTCTCATTTTCGCAATCTAATTGTGTTTAAATACTGATTCCTTGATTCATGATTAGTTTTTCAATATGACTTTTCCTAATTTAGATTTTTTTTTTCACTTCTATATTGTTTGATTGATGAAGGTTGCTTAGCAAGTAGTGTAGAGCAGAATTGAGTTAAACCAGAAAATTTCATATTTAATACTGCTATAGGAGTATGGGTCTATGATGCTTATATTATCTGGGAGAATATTTTGGTAATTGGTTGCGGTACAAATATTCGAAAATAAAGGTAATAAAATATTGAATTCCACATTGTTTAGCACTGCATAGCCAACTTTGGGGGAGTTTTTTTAACTGCAAAAACTTTGGGGGAATATTGTAATCAGTCGCTGGAATGTATTACTGAAAGTTCCTCAGCAATTTGCAGGCTATGCCACGATGAGAGGTATTGGAAACTACAGACTGGAAAATGGTTCTAATGATGATTTAAGTCCACCATCAAGCAGGTTGAAAGGTCAGATGAATTTCTCCTCCAGGGTACCATCTTCCTTGGGAATTTTGTCTCGAATATCTGAAAATGAGAGTGAAAACATTGCGGTGAGTGGTCCTGAGGGTGAAAGGCTTGGAAATGGCAATGGAGAGACTCAATTTTCCAGCTTTGGATACCCATTTGGTTCATGGAATGATTCGTCACAGTTCACACCGAGTTTCACTGGCCTGAAGGGGGAGAGAGACGATGATGGGAAATTAATTGCTGCTATTCAGGTGACATTTTTTGCATCACATTGATCTGATCTCCACATTAAGTTGACCTTATGATTTGATTAGACTTGTTGGATTTTAATCAGAATGGGGAGCTAGGAAATCACATGCCTATTTTGTCACACCACTTAAGTTTACCAAAGACTTCAGCTGAAATGACTGCCATGGAGAAGTTACTACAATTTCAAGATTCTGTTCCCTGTAAAATCCGTGCAAAGCGAGGTTGTGCCACTCATCCACGAAGCATTGCAGAGAGGGTAACCTTCTCTATATCTTGAACTAGTTCTAGTCTTTTGTAGCACCTTTAATTAGACAGTCAACGTCGTTTCTGTGGTTACTACAGTAATTAGATTCCATTGCATTATTGTTGTTTTGCTGGATTATCAATGCTTATGCATTCTAAATTGGGAAATAGTTGGTGATCTGATTGCATGATGAGATCATATAATTTCAGGTAAGAAGAACTCGGATCAGTGAACGAATGAGGAAACTGCAAGAGCTTGTTCCAAACATGGACAAGGTATATTACTTTTCTTTTGCCTTTCAGCTTCTATATATGATTATTTGTTGAAACTCAAATTAATCCTATCTCTTCTTGGCAGCAAACGAACACAGCAGATATGTTAGATTTGGCTGTTGAGTACATTAAAGACCTTCAAAAACAGTACAAGGTGCAGAAGAATGAACAGACTAAATTTCAAAGCAAATATTCTCCTTAACCACTCTTTACTTACCCTTAACATGTTCATTTCTTTTGCAGACTCTTAGCGATAATCAGGCAAGTTGCAAATGTTCCAGTATGCAGAAGTCAGACCCTAATCAAACAGTTTGATTGCTTCTGTACAGAAAATAAGGGAAAGATTGAAAAGTTGATAGCTATATAGGGCTTCTCTTTTTTCTGCCCAGAAGAGAAAGAAGAGAGAAATTTGATTTTTTCTTTTTTCTGTGAAGTGGGTGTGAAGAAGATGGGATGCTACAATTTCAGCTGTAAGATCTAGAGACTATAAGGGTTAAGCAAACAAGGTTTCGAACTATATGATTAGGGAGGCTAAAATAGATAAGGTTGTATAAGTATGATGTAATAATATATTCCTTGTTACCTGTAATTTTTATGGTATGCTTAATAAACTTTTTATGTTATATTAGTGAAATACTGTCGAGAATTCTAAAAAGGAAGTCATATGTATATATATATGTTTTTAGTTGGAGTAGAGATGTTAATTAAACCGAGTTTTGCGAGTTTGAATCGAGCTTGTCGAGCTTGTTTTTCTAAACGAGCCTAAACAATTGTTCAATCTCGACATGTTTAGTAAATGAGTTAAACGCGAATAACTCGACTATTTTACAAATAAATTAGTTGAGTTTTACGAGTTGAAGCCGAGTCTTTTAGATTTGTTTTTTAAACGAGTTTAAAAAATTATTTAACTTCGGTTCATTTAAAACATGAGTTAAGATCGATTTGAGTCCTTTCTGAATTGAATGTAAACCAAATTTGTGTAACTCGACTTAATTATCAATCCTATCTTAAAATATTACTGCCTAAATGGTGTGGACCAAAAGGTATAAATGTATTATTATCTTCACTAGGGATATTTTTCTATTTTCAAACCAACCATGCCATTAATGGAGAAGTGAGTGACAAGTGCATGCCAATATATCTGGAAGCTTAACGCCCACATCATTTAACCTCTCTCTCTCTCTCTCTCCCCGAATAAATGAACCTTATCAAGTTTCCATTCTTTTAGTCCAAGAAAATGCTATATGAAATCACAAGTTTTATGCATCTTGTTTTTTTACTCATTCAGGTCATTCATGTGACAGTTGACTTCCACCAACAGAACATGTTCTTTCAGGGAAATGTTATCCAAGAACGTGGAGTCCCAACTCACTTGTCTCGCAACTTTTTGACCGGAGAATGATGGATTTAGCCTACTACTTAGGGTAAGAGGCATGACTGCATGAGAACAACTTAGTGTGTTAAATGATCAAAAACTAATCATCTCTTATGAAGCTTGAACTTCTGACCTCTTCATAAGGATCCTAAATCTCTTTGTGAGAATTTTTTTTAGTCCAACGGTTAGTGGTTTTCAAACAAATTTATGTGTATTTCGATTAATTCCCTCTTTAATGTCGTTGTTGAGGTGGATTTTTTCGGTGAAGAAGCTCGTTGTTCATGCAGCCGGCGTCGATTGAAGATTAGCGACTGGGGTACTCTGTCGAAGTTCAAGAGAAGGAGAAATTTTAGGGCTTTGGGGAAGAAAGTGTGCTAGTTCGGGGAGAGAGAAAGTGAAAATATGGCTGATTTTTTGATGAAATCAGATTTTTTTAAGTTTTTTTTTAAGAAATTAGGTGGCTTAAGTTGCTGAGTTGGTAAGGACACCTCAACTACCACATCATTAGATCACTTATTTAGGTCCAAAAATCAGGTCTTCCAGTAGCATTACCCTTGTATGTGTACTACTGCCACGGGGTAACAACTCGTTTTTCGTTTTGAGGTTATCTGTGAAGGCATTGCTGCTGCAACCAGCCACTCAATCTCAAGAACATGAGACAAAAACTCACATAGAAAGCACACGCGAATTTACTGAGACAACACTCTCAAACCTTATATATTGAACTCAACAATTTACAAGGAAACTCTTAAAGTCAGAACACTTTCTCTGACTATTAGAATGCCCAAGCATTCCTATTTATACAAGATCATGACAGATGGCTGCCAAAGGGTAGTTACCCACATTCTGCTATTCCATAGCAGACTTGGCCAACATGCTTCATCTCTGTGCAACACCTGACAGACAGTTTCACCCATTCAGTAACTGATGTGAAACTGCCCCTCATTAGCATGCATCTGGACTAGAATCTGGCTAGGAATGTCCAGAACTACTTCCCACAGACTAAGCCTTGTTCAGTAACTACCCACATCCTCCTAGTCACATGCATTGAGCAACCATGTGCTAGTCATGTGTCCAAATTCAGTAGTTAGCCTTGCCTCACAAACTGTTGTGCATGCTGGGTTCAACCCATGCCATGCAATTCAAAACTATGCACCCACATTGCCTCAATTAAGCCCACCACGTGTTGTCATGCTCAACCAGGTGGTCTCATGCTGCCACAACCCGCACCAATCTGTCGAACCGTATAACCGCATCACCTTGATTCAATCTCATGGCGTGCCTTGGTGCAAGGTGCCACTAATATCGCCATTATGCACCCAAGTCAATTAGGGTGTGACAGCTAACATCTAACGCAACTTTTGTACTTAAAGTTATCATGTAGAATTGTCAGACTGCCTGAAAAGAAGGGGCTCTATCTATGTTAAATCCTCAGATTGGGACATTGACTAGATTGAATTGGGCGAAGTAATTCTTTTCAGGCAACCAATTATTTAGCCCCAAGAGGATTAACAGTTAACAGTTGAGATGGTCGAGTATTCTGGGGAATGGAGGAATGGGGGGTTGAAATTCTAGTGTCAATGTTAGTATTGTAATTTGGGCGGGTCAACCTGAATTCAATTTGAACTAGGGGTGTAATTTGGCCGGGCTAACCCGATTTTAACCCGAAAAAATTAGAGCTTAGATTAGGATTTTTACTACTTGGGTTGGGTTTGAGTCAAAAAATCTCAACCCGAATTCAATTTGCGCGGGCCTAGGGTTGAGTCATCAGGTTCACAAGTTGAACCCGAATATTAAAATCGGGCTCAACCCGAAAAAATTAGAGCTTAGATTAGGGTTTTTAATACTTGGGTTGGGCTTGAGTCAAAAAATCTCAACCCGAATTCAATTTGCGCAGGCCTAGGGTTGAGTCATCAGGTTCACAGGTTGAACTCGAATATTAAAATCGGGTTCAACCCGAATTAATACTATATAAATACAATTTTATCTTAGGGTTAATCTCAACTCAAGTGTGCGCCTCCCTCAAACCCTTACTCACTCTTAGTCTTTCTCAAGAATTCTGGTTGTGCAAGGATTTTGTTTAAACAGTGAAATCTATGTTTGTGTAAGGATTTTGATTGTGTTTATTTGTGTTTTGTATGATTGTGGTTGCATTATCTCAAATATTGAATTCTTAATATTATGGTTTTATGTTAAAAACTTGATTGAAGTAACTTGAAATCAACCGGAGCCTGCGCGAATTAAACTCGGACAGTGATCAGGTTGAGTTTTTCAACCCGAGGTAGGGTAAGAGTTAGGGTTGAAGATTATATACTTAAAGTTGGGCTAGAGTTGACTGTTCAACCCGCCCGAGTTGCACCCCTAATTTGAACTTGAAAAAGTAAGGCTTGAGTTGAGGCTTTTAATTTTTGGGTTGGGTCTGAATTGAAAAACACAAATTCGAATTGAATTTGGACAATACTCGAGTTGAAGCCTCGGGTTATCGGGTTCAACCCGAATATATAAATCAGGTTCAACCCAAACATATTTAAAAATAAATATATAAATCAATAGATTCAATAGTATAACTTACAACTAGAGTTTATACGCCACAATTCACTTTAACGAACACAACTCGAATTTTAATTCGAAATCAGCTTGAGTTAAGTAACCTGAATCTAACCTGAATTTTAACCCAAATTAAGTAACTCGAATTTAACCCAAGTTCACCCGAATTCAACTTGGATAGTACTCAAATTGAGTACCTTAGATTGATATCAGATTAGGGTTAGAATTAGAGTTGAAAATTATATACCTATAATTAGGTTAAGATTGACCTCTCAACGCCCCTAACTTGTTTGAATTGCACCCTAGTCAATGATATGCACTAGGGGGTTTGAATTATTTGCCTCGCACAATGCAAAACCATGTCACTCATGTCAATCCTAAATGTTGTGTGTTTGAATAACATTTTATAGGTCTCTGAATCATTTGATTTTGTAATTCATTTACTTGCTAGCTTCTGAAGGTATTGAAATTATCTTCTATTATCCTTCTCAGGTATCGAGTTGGTACTAGCGCATACTATCGAGGTGCATTTGATGCAGTGTTAGTCTATGACATGACCAAGCATCAGATGGCTCGGTGGCTTAAGGAACTAAAGGGACATGCCGATAAGAACATTGTTATAATGCTTTCGACCACATTTTCTATAGGGTCCTCTTATATCTTCTTTTTCTGAGTTGAAATTATGGAAGAAGGAATCGACAACAATTGGTATTATTACGGTATAGCTTATGATGTACATATTGATCTATCATGCGTTATACCCCAACAACTATTCTTATTACCACGCCTCCACAGAACCCTCAAAACCATGAACCAGCCACCATCACTATACAAGTATGACTTAGGAAGTCTGCGAGCAATACCAACCAAAGATGCCCAAGAGTTTGCTGAAAAAGAGAACCTATGCTTCATGGAGACATGAGCAATTGAGGCTACAAATGTCGAAAGTGCATGCATTTATGACAATTCTAATTGATCTATAGTATATCATGAGCAAGAAGTCCCTCAGTGCCATCGGTGGAGCAGACCATGCGGAAACGACATCTCTCAAGGGTACTAAGATCCTTGCTCCTGGCCAGGAATCAGATTCCGGTGGGAGAAAAGCTGGTTGTTGCTTGCCATAGTGTAATCTTCACTTTTGCTTCTTATATTCTTTCGATTTTTTGTTTTTTTGTTTTTTTAGGTATTTTGATCCACTGAATATTTTTGTCTATTTAGGCTACATTTGCATTGAGAAAAACTATGATCTTGTAAAAAATAGAGCATTGACCTTAATTTAGAATGAACTGTACATCAGTGAGGGGGTGTTGCTCATATGTATGCTATTTAATTGAAGTACTTTCCTACTATGATATGAAAAGACCAAACCACTGCTAATAAAATTCACTAAACTCTTGATGACCTATGATCTGGATACATCTATCTCAAATGGGGTGAATTCTCGATTCAAGTCATTGAAATGTACAACCTCAAATTATAAAATTAATCCTAAATCAATTCGCTTGAGGACACTTAGCACAAATCTNGCTCGATTCAAGTCACTAAAATGTACAACCTCAAATTATACAATTAACCCTAAATCAATTCGCTTGAGGACACTTAGCACAAATCTAAAATACATATTAAGTGACTAAGTGTATATAGATTGATAATTATATATTGTTTTATGTAATAGAAAATCGAGTATAAGTGTAAGATACATGGTAATTAATTTAATGTTTATTAATGCTCAATAATATATAATGTATAGTAGTGAAAATGATCTAGACAAGAGTTTCAAAACGAATTGCGATCCAAAATACCGTACCAACTAACCTTACCCTCATTATACTGCATATCTAAGAAAATGTTGTGTCATTGTACCTGTACCCGTACCCGTACCCTGTACTAAAACAATCCACGATCCTAGTAAATCATCCTTTTCAAGAGGGAAAATATTTTCTTCTTCTTCATGAGTTTTATTTCATGGTTGAACCAAGTTTCATATGTGACTCTTTAAGAACATGAAAGTTTTGTACTTTAAAAATGTATTTTGAAAAAGTGTTACCAAATGAAGTCTTGAGCTTAAAATTCCGGTATTTTTAATAGCAAAGGGCCACAATAAGCTCATCAGTTGTGCATTCTAATTAGTCACCTAAGTATTAAGTTGTTTTTTCCCCTTTTTGGTTGATTTTGAATCTATCTTAAGGGTCAGCTAAAGGTTGACATTAGGGGTCAACAATGGGCCGGGCTGGGCTGGTCTGTGTAAAAAAATTCTTGCCATAAATATCAATTAGGGGTGACAATCAAATCGTATCATGTTATGTTTGAATTATATCTAATCAAGTTCATGTTAAGTACTAATTAATTATAACGCTAGCATATGATTGTATGTCACGCCCCATCCTGGTCTCCCAAGGATAAGACACAACTAGGTTTTTGATACATCTGTTTACATATATATAATTTAAATTAAAAAAAACACTAATTAATCTCACAGGTGCAATAATACCACTCATCACCTTAGTTAATAAGTATGATGATAAACCTGTCTCATAACCTGTATCATATATACACGTACCAATTGTTTGTTTCCGAGGTTATAGACAAATACAAAATTCCACACCCACATAGCATACATCACAAAATATGTCTGTTGAGTCTGTTTACAAATATATATACTATTAACCTACTATAATAATCTCCCATTAACATAATATACACCCCAACTAATAATTATACAGTCCCCCAACCAATATCATTGACTCATCTAAAAGTAAATAGATAAAGAATAGAATATCATACTAACATTGTACAAAACTCAACCCTTCTTGACAGTGGACTGATCTGTGTCTCCCTCTCTTGTACCTGAAAAGGAGAAACTATAGGGGTGTGAGCTAAATCACGCGCTCAGTGAGTGTATATGCCTTATATGAAATAAAAATAATAGTAATACATAGAAGTAGATAAATACTACGTAAATACACATATCAAACAATAACATTAATCCAATTTCAAAACATTAACAAGCCACAACACATCCATACTACTCCCATCGGGTAATCGATCCCACATGGATCTATGTCTCCCGAATCTCCCGGGAACACCACAGTGCTAGCACACCACTATACGCCCAGTGATCAGGCATCGACGCTTCTGTCTCAAACAGTGCACCACATTCCACAATACACAATACACAATGCATAATACAAAGCATCATCCAATCACATAAGCACATAACACATAATCTTGGAGAAATGCTATTAAATTCGATCATCTAATATCATCTTATAATAGCATTTTTAAAACATATAAAGATATACACCCACCTCAAATACATCGATCTACAGCCCTTCGGTTCTATCGATGGATCTTTCCGGTGTTATCGTATTAATTTGAACACCGATTGTCTCACCCGTTGTACCTAACACATTTGTAATTATCATATCAATATGTTTATCACATTTAATAGTTAATCATGAATTGCATGCAAAATGATGTACCTAAAGTGCCCCGGTAACCCCGGTTACCACACTGTTCACTCACATATTGACACATTAGATTTAGGGATCATATTTCTTTCGAAATTTTTAAAAATCACTCACATTAATCATAATTATGATTAAATAGGTCAAACACATTGACCAGGGCCCATTTCCATACATTTTGACTCCAAATTCCAAAAATTGCACTTCCTACATTTAGTACATTCCGCACCGGATATTATATTCATTTGCATTATAAATTTACATTATCACATCAAACATCATTTACAAGTAATGCATGCAAAATTTCAGGTCATTTGGATTAAAATTCACACATGTAACAATAACATTTAGAAATTAGGGTTTCGGCGTTACCGACACTTATTTTCAATTTATATTGTATTTTTTTTTTAAAATCACTGCACTTAAATTCACATACACATTTAATCAATGCAAAACAACCCCTAATTGAGCCTTTAAACCACCCCTTTCATTCCCAAAATTTCGGTTCCATCTTAGCTCTCGAAAAATATACCGAACATCTTAAATGACCATTTGGAACTTTGAGAAAATATACCGAACATCGCAAAACAACCCCTAATTGAGCCTTTAAACCACCCCTTTCACCTTTGGTTTAATACCTATTTGGAACCCTTACTTAGCAGCCTGTTAATTACATTTCATACACTTAATGAAATTCACAAAAATCTGTTGTGAAATTAAATACAACAACCCACTAATTTGTGTTTAATACACCTAATTTAGGCTCCCAAAAATATGTTTTGAAATAAACTAAAATAGTCCATAAAATTAACTAAAACAGTACATGAAAGTAAATTAAAATAACCACTAATTTGAAATAAAACAGCCTTCACATATACATACATACCCAAATTAATCATACATACCTTCCTTTCTTATGTTTTTACTCTCACATTTGATTTGGCATGAAATCCCCCAAGTTCTCTTTTTTTTTTTTTTTTGTTCTTTCTTCTTCCTCTCTTTTACTCTTGTTCACCCTCACTTATGGTTCCAGCAAGAACCAGACACACACACACACACACTAAATTCTATGTTAAACACACACACACACACACACCCCCATTTTTTACACCTAGTCACACACCCACACGCACACGTCACACACCCACACATGCACTTGAAACACCCACCACCTTATGTTTGACACATATATAAAGATATTTCAATCAACTTTAATAATTTCACTTGCCTTCCCCTAAATTTTTAAGTGATTTCAAAATCAACACAATACCATTTTCATACACAAAATTCTATCTAATAAATAATTTCACATAATTATAATTAGTCTATATAATTATGCTAATATGTATGCAATGCATGATCAGGTCTCATATTGTATCAACTATTTGATGGTAATCCAACCGACCTTACTAATATTCGTGTTGTTGTGTTTGAGCCAATCCTCTTAACTCGTGACCAATAATATGGGGAAATCTCAAGTCTTGATCTAAAATTTCATTTTAGATCCAAAGTCAAAACAAATTGACACATTATTGTGGTTGAATCTCTCTCTCTCTCTCTCTCTCCATTGCATTGATGGATGAACACAATTCAAGTAATAACATGAGGATTTAATAGGTTTTAGACACTCATTATGTCATTTACATTGAGTTCGAGGTAAAATAATCAGAATTGAGGACTCCCGAAAAATCTAGACCGGATTTGTTCTTATTGAGAACCGTTGTTGATTTCAGACATTAAAGAAATTATAAAGACATCCCAAATGAGTTTATAAAATGTTGCATCTCAAATGATATGACAAATTTTATAAGGGCTCTCGTTTGGTAGACGTATTATAAGAGGATTTGATTGTACTCTTTTTTATTTAATCGGGTTTAAGACTTTGTTTGGTAATCGTATATTTTTATACGATAGACCTATATTATAGAGATGTTTTAATACCACAAAGAGATGTGATATTATAATCTAACTCAAACTTATTATTCTATACAATTACTATTATACCCCTCAACTAATAAAATCAAGCTATTATCAATGTAACAAACACTGATTGAATGTTTTTTTTGTTAATTCAACATTAATAGGATCAAATAATTTCCTAAACAAACAATCGATTGGATTAAATAACTATTATCCAATATTTATGTTGTATATTGTCAAACATTAAATAAAATTACGTATTATTCTAATATCCTATTTAATCTTACCTTTTATCCTTCTGTATTGTATTGAATTTGATTATTTTATCTAATCTATCTATATTTCTAACAAGACAACCAATGAGTCTTGAATGTTTGGGGAGAGTGAATTAGACCCATTAATACAATCATCAACTTTGATTTGGTATAGAATTGTGGTAAGCATTGCAATTCTCTTTCTAAAATTGGACCACATAGGCCAAGCAACCACAAGCTACATAAACAAGCCCAATCATGGTTGCCATCTTTTTTTTCAGGGGCAAAATCGTAAAATGGCTAAATTGAACTGCTCCAATCACAACTTGAAAGCAAATTTGAAATTTGAAAATTTTGGGTCACTCACATAAATCCTCCTGCTGGTCACGTGCGCAATACATTTTTTACTTCCAATTTTCTAGTTTTCATTTTGAATTTTTCATTTCCGTATAAAGTACCGCCCAATTTTCACTTTGAAAATTTGCCATTTCGCCTCTCTTCAAGCTTTCTCTTTCTTCTTCTTCTTCTTCTATGCTGTGTAGAACCACTTCATCATCATCATTATCAAGCGCCTTCAAGAAACCCCCACACACCCTAACACTCTTAAGGTAAGCACATAAACCCATCTGCTGCTTCTTCATCGTTGATTTTTCTTTTTGTCTGGTTTGGTCAAATTTGTGCAGTCGGAAAATGCGGAATTCGAAATCTGGGTGACCGAAAAAAGGTTTTTCCGATATGGGTCACCGGGGAATACTCTTTCATCTGGAATTATTTATTTTTATTTACGGGTTTCTGAGAAATCGACATTTCTTCATTTTCTTTCCAAGATTTGTTTTTGGTTTCGCCATAAAACTTCCATATTTCTGAACTTATCATACCTTGATCGTTACATGTGTAATGCATACCCATACATTCTTGTACTACGTGAATTTGCTTATATACTTGTAATATAAATTTGTGTCTAACATTGTTGCTTCCAGTTGAAAATTCAGCAAAATGTCGGAGCCCAGGGACCGGTTAAACAGGCCTGAAGACATTTCGGTGAGGTTCAGTCGTCGAAGGAGGTCAATCGGTAGTGGCATCGGAATCTTAGCTGATGAACCAGAGATAGGGTTGGGAACTCCGTTCCGGTGGGGTGATACGGCAATGATGGGGACACGTAGACCGATTGGAGTGGCAGCTACGCGAGCAAGAGGTGGTGGTGGTGTTGGGAGGGGTAGTTTGGGAACACCAAGAATTGCAGGAAATGGGCGTGGCCGGAATATTTACAGGTCGCCGGTGGCGGTAGTGGGTCAACAAAACATGCCGCCGGGGGGACGTGGCGGGCTAGTTATTGGTCGCGGCCGAGGACGAGGGAGGAGTGGCAGTGTGTTACCTTCTTGGTACCCGAGAACTCCTCTTCGTGACATCACCGCTATTGTGCGGGTAAAAGTTCTTTAACTTTTCTTGATCTCTTGAATGGTTGTTGCTTGATTTGGTTGTGCTTATATTGCATGGAAAATAGTTGGTTTTATTCAATTTGTGCGCACATTTTGTTGCTTTGATCAATTAAAGTTGAATAGATCTTTTTCCTTCTATGGTTCCTTCAGGAGCATTTCTCTGCAACTCTGGTAGTCTGGTTCTTCTTCATAGGAAGAGTGGTTAAATAGGTTTACAATGATTGGTGAAAAAAAGATTTTGAACCATCAGATTAAAGTTTAATTTTTCATAGTCTTGAACGTATAGGAAAGGTAATTTGTTAGTCCATTGAAAATCTTGAGTATAAATAAAGATGGGTCTAATTCTGGATCCACCCAGGTATCTTCTGGATCGATAATAGTTTTAATTCGAATCTAGTTATAATATCAATATTGAATGTTTTTAACATGGGTGCTGAACATCATTGGAGCAATATTGTTCCTTAACTGAAGGTGTTATGCCTTTTCATATTTCGGAAGAGTTCTCTTTTGCAATTTTTCATCTTTTGTTGTTTTTTATTTAATTGGTGGCTTGATTTTCAATCTATATTTCAACTATTGTTTCTTTCAAACTGTTACCTTTTATTTCCTCAATTTTGATTTTTACGAAAAAACTCGAATTTGTTTTCACCGAAGCTAAGTCATGGTTTTCTGACATTAATTATTCTCAGCTTATTTATGAAGTGAGGAGCCATGCTATAGAACTTCAATTTCATTCCCATCAATGTAGTGGAACAGTATTGAGAGTAAATGCAATAATAATTGGCCTCTGTTGGCCCCATATCTCATCGTACATTTCACTTTATAGCAGCATTGTTTTATTACACGTCTATATTTAAGCTCATTATTGGTTTTTTAGCTTACTTCTATTACATAGTTGGCAAAGTTGTATTCAGATTCTGATCTTCAAGTAGTACATATCTTCATCTTGGTCTGTTGTGTATAGTTTCCTTATAATGTTCATGACTATGCACTTTTCTTCTTCTTTCATTTGTATGCATTATCCTTTGAAAAACTACATTGTGTAGTTCCGGAGCAGTTTTGCAATACTTGTATCTTGTGAGCAAGAAGAAGACATTGGTGTTTAGCATCCTCCAGTGAAATTGATATTTGAAAGCCTGATAGTTCACCACTAAAGTAATCTTTTTTTTTAACTATTGATTATCTCGAGCGCAAATTTTTATGCTCTCTGCTGAGTCTAACTTTTGGAAGCAGGCCCTTGCCAACTTCTGTAGGTTAAGTGCCCAAATTTTTGCCTCTAATGTAATATTGCTTGTTCATTATAAGACTTAGTTGTATCTATCATCATATTGAGCTTGACTTGGTAAGTGACATATACTTTTGGGTTTTGGTTCAGTTTCCTTTTTTGATGCATTTTGCAACTCTCCCACTGGCTGCGTATTGTTTGGTCAAGACAATTGAATAGTTTTTTGTCCATAGGCCATAGAAAGAACAAGAGCTCGCTTGAGAGAAATGGAAGGCCAACAAATTGAGAGTCCTATACCCCAGGACCAGGCTGTTCTTTATCCATCTGTAACTATATCAGGTGCTCCACTTGAGCACGATTTTTCTATGATTTCCCCAAATCCAACAATTGGAATCAGGCATTGTACACCATCTGTTGGTAGAGTGCCCAAGATATTGCTTGATGTCACCAATCAGAATGCAGGAGAATCAGATTTTCTCACACCCCAGAAGAAATTGCTGAATTCAATCGACACAGTTGAGAAAGTTGTGATGGAGGAGCTGCGTAAATTGAAGAGGACTCCCACTGCTAAGAAGGCAGAGAGGGAAAAAAGAGTCCGCACTTTGATGTCAATGCGCTAATCAACGTATATTTTGTTCTGATTTCTTCATCAACCATGGTTGATAGCATAGAGATTAAGGATTTTGGATGAAAGGAGAATGGACCGACCTGCGTTGTAAGATTGATCATCTTCTGATGATCTGTTGGGCTCTCGTTTGTTTCGAAAGATAGTGCCATTTTTCTATTTCTACATCTTCTTCACATGTTAACTTCTACCCGAAGATCTTACCTGAGGATCACTAGGCGATTTTGCTCATAATGTCATCTGCTGAAGGTTTTGATGTAGGATTAGTAGATACTTTTGTTTCCAGTTCCTTTCATTTACCCAAGTTCTTGATGTAGGATTATAGTGTGGCATTGAACTGATGTACATAAATGGCCAGATTGCACTCTTTGTTTCATTACTTGATGAGGTCTTTTGCCCTTGTAACTGTTGTTCTTAATATGATAAGGCAGTAGTCATTCTATCTTAATATGATAACTCTGGGAGTCTTGTTCTTAATTGTAACTGTTGTTCATGGTTGATTGTCATAGAAACTTTGGGATTTTCTATCTTGAGATGATGAGAGGCTGCCCACAGTAGCTATTTAATTACTGATCTGGTATGAGTTTGAGAGTTTTAGGATGCTGGTTTGGAGCTCTTTTATTTGAGGGTTCCTACATTGCTATCTATTATAGTAAGATGTAGAAACAAAATACATTAAACATCTAGCATATTGAATTTGTAATTTCATGGCTAACACATCTCCTATAGGCATACACTAGAAAGAAATGGATTGTCATGGTTTTAGCAATCCATTTGTTGAATTTGGCAAAGTTTTAAAGTTTTGATATATATTTGCTATGAATTGTCATGGAGAAATGTGTTCTGTACGTGTGTTGTTGTTGTTGTTATTATTGTTTTTTTTTTTTCGAAACCATGAAAGGGGGGTGGTCACAGAAAATGGACCAGCACCGTCCATCACATGGAGGCTTATGGGTGACCCTTCGATTATGGTTCATATAAAAGCCCATTAGGATTGGGCCGAGGAAATTTTTCTGGGCCGGGTTGTCTATCCCTGTCCATTGTCCACCTTTCTTATTTCGCTTTTTATTCATTTTTTTTCTTTCTCATAAATAATTTGACTATGGTACCGATTTTTTTTTAGTACCATAACTCCATTTATTATATTTATAATTTTTTTTGATCACTGTTATGTTATCCCAAAAAATGGTAAAAATTATTACAACAGTTATAAAAATATTCATAAATATGATAAATTTTTTTGTATAAAAAAAAATGGTAAAAATAGTACTAGAAATGTGATAAAAATATTCACAATAAATATGACAATATCTAAAAAAATGATAAATCACTCACAAAATAATAAAATTTTTAATTATAAAATAACAAACAAAAATTATAAAAATATTTATTAAAATAATAAAAAATAAAAATAAGATACCAAAATAATTTCTTCAATGCTGTAGTCTAAGTCTTTCATAGATATACTAGTAATTGTCTGTACCTGAAAGCACAGTATAACGAAAAATTAGATTAAAACTTGAAAAATACTACATTAACTATTTGTAACTTAAAACAACCTATCTATAAAACTTACAATCATCATAATTCACCATACCGTGTGTACTAATTAATACATACCTAATCATCAACACATGTCCAACCACCAAAATATCAAGCTACTCCTTACTAATTTTAAAAATTTTTGACAGAATTTCCTTTAAAAATAGAAGCCCAGAAAAATGTAAACCTGTTAACAAAACTTACAATCATCAATAACAATCATCATAATACACTATATCACCACAATCATCAATACATACCTAACCACCAAAACAACCATCATTCCATATCTAAAATCATCAAAACTATGCATAATTAGTTAACTTTACAAAAGACGAAACACAAAAAATATAATTATGCACAAATAGAGAAATAACTTCATTTTCTTTATAGCGTATACTAAGTATCCTTCAATGTATACCTGAAAATATTTGAAATATAAAAATTATCGAAATATGGCAAAATAAAACAATTATCAAAATACGTGAGGCAAAACATATGGATAATACATAATTATTGTCATCAATTCCATTACTTTGAATTATCTAAAAAACAAATGAGCACACACATTTGTATATAGTGGGGGAGGGGGGATGATTTAGATTGATATAAACAAAAATTTAGAGAGATTGTAACAAATTAGCAATTTATTTATGAAAATATATGGAGTAGTGTAGAGAAAGACTAACAATCAAATAAGTCTTTCTCAGTAGCATTTTAACAAACGATTCATTTGTCTAATAATTTCAATCATAAATCTTTATTGGTGGCAGTATAATGGTGTGTGAGTTCAATTTGCAAGTGTGTGATTGATTACAGTTGTGTGTGTGTGTGTGTGTTTGTGCAAGTATTGTGTGTGTTGTGTGTCTGCATGAGAAGTAGAGAAATATATAAATCCTCAAAAAGAGAGGCTTTCACACCTTGACAAATGTTTGATCAATGGTGGGTTAGTCATCGTCAAAAGTGGACAAGTCTGTACTGGATTACAAATCGTTTGAGTTTTCTCAGAAATAATGTCATCTTTCAATAACTCTCATTTTCATCCCTTTAAACCTTCTCTTCATTTCTATCCTTAATGTTCTCGTATCAATACGAACACACTTTGCCCAATGGGAGGATGCACAACCACCTAAATTATTCACATAAACAATAAAATTAACACAATATATATATTATAGGAATAGTAAAATTATTTTGAATAAATGAAGTAAAAGTAGATTTACCTGATTACGCCAACTCCATCCACAAAGGTCCATTGTATATACTCTATCGTTCTCTTTGACAAATTCACTTCAATCCTACAAAGAATGAACCTCTTCGTAAAATTAAAAATTAAAATATTGAAAAGATTAGAAGAGGTTTCTTTTTCTTTCCCTTTAAATTTGGCATTCGCCACTGCATTAGACCTTTTTTTTCTCTTTCTATTATAGATTATGTATGGGGTGTAAGAAAATGCTATTTAACAGGGAAAAAAATGAATGAGAAAGAGGTGTGAGGTAATACTACCTCACGTATACGAAGACGATTTAGTTCATACTCATTACGAATTACCACTTCTACATTATTATGACGAAATCTTCGAACCTATAGACAATAAAGGTTAGATAAAAAGTTTTCTAGATAAAAAGGTTGAATAGTAAATAAGCGGGGTAAAAAGGTTAGATAAAAAGTAATAAAATANTCTTTCTCAGTAGCATTTTAACAAACGATTCATTTGTCTAATAATTTCAATCATAAATCTTTATTGGTGGCAGTATAATGATGTGTGAGTTCAATTTGCAAGTGTGTGATTGATTACAGTTGTGTGTGTGTGTGTGTGTGTGTTTGTGCAAGTATTGTGTGTGTATAAATCCTCAATAAGAGAGGCTTTCACACCTTGACAAATGTTTGATCAATGGTGGGTTAGTCATCGTCAAAAGTGGACAAGTCGGTACTGGATTACAAATCGTTTGAGTTTTCTCAGAAATAATGTCATCTTTCAATAACTCTCATTTTCATCCGTTTAAACCTTCTCTTCATCTCTATCCTTAATATTCTCGTATCAATACGAACACACTTTGCCCAATGGGAGGATGCACAACCACCTAAATTATTCACATAAACAATAAAATTAACACAATATATATATTATAGGAATAGTAAAATTATTTTGAATAAATGAAGTAAAAGTAGATTTACCTGATTACGCCAACTCCATCCACAAAGGTCCATTGTATATACTCTATCGTTCTCTTTGACAAATTCACTTCAATCCTACAAAGAATGAACCTCTTCGTAAAATTAAAAATTAAAATGTTGAAAAGATTAGAAGAGGTTTCTTTTTCTTTCCCTTTAAATTTGGCATTCGCCACTGCATTAGACCTTTTTTTTCTCTTTCTATTATAGATTATGTATGGGGTGTAAGAAAATGCTATTTAACAGGGAAAAAAATGAATGAGAAAGAGGTGTGAGGTAATACTACCTCACGTATACGAAGACGATTTAGTTCATACTCATTACGAATTACCACTTCTACATTATTATGACGAAGTCTTCGAACCTATAGACAATAAAGGTTAGATAAAAAGTTTTCTAGATAAAAAGGTTGAATAGTAAATAAGCGGGGTAAAAAGGTTAGATAAAAAGTAATAAAATAATGAGTAAGAAAAACTTATCATACAGTATTTTTTAGATCATTGTCCATCTGTCACGACATTAATGAAGATAAATCAACATAAAAAAGTTATTAAAAAAATCAATAAGAGATGTTTAGAGAGAGTTAATCAAATGATAAACTTACATAACAAAAAATAATGATATCTTCCATCGGTCGATGATTATGCAGTTGAAACGGTGGTGACTACATAGTAAAATTACAATGATTAACATCAATTACAATGAAATTTCAACTATGAAATTAACATCAATTACAATGAAATTTCAACTATGAAATTAACATCAATTACAATGAATTTTCTTTCAATTAACATGCATTTAATCAAACCTAATACATACACAAAATGACAACCAAAATTAGCCTACAAATTACACAAAATGAACAATCAATAATAACCAACTATAAAAAAATCCAATTAAAAAAAATAACCTATTTCATCATAACTATAACAGCCAAATTAAAAGACACCCAATTAAAAAAAACAACCTAACATTTAAAAAACCATTAAAGCAAGGATGTGTGCAGATCCAATTAAACACCCAATTTAAACGACATTCAAAAATCATTAAAGCAAGGATTCAAAAAGACACCCAAATTAAATACCAAAATTAAACACCCATTTAAAAGACACCCAAATTAAACACCAAAATTTTAAAAAGTAAAATTTAAAACCCCCTTTATACACAAACATTCAAAAACTATTGTGCAGTGTGTGGTTGTGTGCAGATGTGCTGCTCTATGTGTGTGAGAGAGATATATATAGAGTGAGATATCCCTCAAGAAATATCGAAGAAGCTGTCGGCAGCATAGATAATGGCTGCCTGTGATTAGATTATGACAACTCTATATGTAAAACTTGTAGATTTTGGTTCCACATTGTTGAACAAATGTCATAGGGTGGATAGGATGGAATTGGCTTGCCATGGGTTGCAAGAATTTCATAAAGTTGGTTGCTGTAAGTGATCAACAAAAACTAAGATGGAGTTTCGGTGTTAAACAAAAGGCCAAAAAGCTAGGGGAAAAAGGTTGATGATGATTTGGTTATATTATTTGCTTAATAAGTACCAATGTTATATTATTTGCTTACGAAAAAACAAACTGATCTTGCTTTTTTTTGCCATCAATGTCATATTATTTGCTTACGAAAAAACAAAATAGAAATCAGGAATAAAAAAAGAGTAGAAACCTATCTTGCTTCTATATGGACCTTTGATACATAGCAACTCCTTGAATACCCTAGTCTTGACATTGATACTTTGTCTTTAACCGGATTAAAGAGTGAATTAATCGAAATGTACATAAAGTGGTCAATACACTCCTGATAATTAAACCAAACAAAATAATGGTTTAATTTACGTAGCATGCTCGTCTTGGAACACCCAGAAAAACTAAAGAAAATTAATGGAAAAAGAAGAATAAACTTGTGAAGAAGAACAACTAAGTCTTCCATTCTATTCTCCAAAAAATATTTACATCAAACTACTTAAAAATCAATGCTCTCAATGAAATGTTGAATAGAGATCAAAAATGGAAAAAAAAAAGTAATAATAGAGATCAAAAATGGAAAAAAAATAAAATAAACCCAGTTGAAAAATCTAATATTTTTAGAAGCTTGCATAAATTGAAATCTAAAGGAATAAAATCCCAAGGACCCCAACCATCTCCAGATGAATGCTTAAGATTAACAATAAGGAGGTCTTGAAAAATGTCAAAGAAAAGTGAAAATCAACCAGGAAAGTAATGAACAGTCTGTATTGGAAATACTTCAAATTCACTACCAGGTCAATTAGAAATTCGATTGTTGATATATACAAAAACCTTTCATAAATGCATTAGAAGTTGCTAGAACTCCTACAAAAAGCCGATACCCAGATGGAAAAAATCCATGGATACACAGAGAAAGCTCTACGAAGTGAGAGATGACTCAGAAATATGATCAAAACAAACAAACAAAAAACAAACGATGGAATAAAAATCAGATTGGATAAACCTTGCTAAGGAATTGAATAAAGAAAATCTAAGCAATGAATCACACTTCATGGTGTTAAGTAGAATAAGGAATGGGAGAGAGAGAGTCCTCACAAATCTAAATCAAAAATCTATTAGCTACAAAAGTCCCCACAAATCTAACATGCAACCTCAAATTCAGGAAACTCACACAGGCCAAATCAAAAACCTGTCACAAAGAACCCTTCATACCCATCATACCACATGAAACCCCATTTTCCACCATCCAAAAAGAAAAAAAAATTTAAATTAAGGGACCTGATCTGGAGTCTCATGACTCTCCCTATTCCTCATATTGCAGAGTTTTAGTTAATTAGCAAACAAATGGACCTTTGATACACAGAAGATGATACACAGCAAAAGTCGGTTATACTGTGTTGCTGAGCGATTGGAGAGAGAGAAAGAGAGGGGGAGAGGGAGGTACCTGGGTTGAGCTGTGTTGATTGACGCTGAGAACGTTGTGTTAATCGTCGCTGTGTTGAGCCATGGCAGAGGAGTCAGAAGCTGAACTCGGCCGCTGTGTTGTGAGAAGGATTGGTTGAGAGAGAGAAAATGATTTTACTATGAGGCATTGAAGAAGAGTGACTGGGTAGCTGTGTTGGGCCATGAGCCATGACAGAAGGGTGTGAGGTGACTGGATTGATGAGCAGTCTGAATATAATTTGGGCGGAAATTTTTTTATGTGAGATAAAATGTGGGCCATTAAATCCCCTTTAAAGAATTAAATAAAATCTAGACTGTTCAGTTAAAATTAGAATCAATCTGAACCGTTCTTGTACTTTTTTAAATAAATTTAAATTAAATTAAATTTTGAAGTAGAGAAAGATTCAAATTAAATTCTATCTTTTATTATTATTGATGGGAAATCATATTGATGACTTAGTAGAGTTGTTATTTGCTTCTAAATCCAAGTAGAGGACACAGAGACAATGAGTGTGTCCATGTGGGGGGACTCCTAGAGGGCTATCCTTTTCCAAAAGGTCTTAATTTGATTACTTCGTAAAGCCCGTCCCTTTTGTCGGCAGGGATGGATTGAGCGACATAGGACAGCCTGCTTTTTTTTTTTTTTTTTTGCATTGGAGGTTTAAGCCTGTCCCTTTTGCCAGCAGGATAAGATTAAGGCTCTCTGCTTATTTTTTTTTTTCTTATTTAAATTAATTGTATCGAAAGTCCTCAAAAAATAGGATTATCTTAATTTAGTCTTTAATATTTTAATTATATCATTTTTGTCCCATTAAATATTAAATATATTTTTTTGTTATCTCTCAAACAGATAACATCTAAATTACTAACAGTTTTTAATCATAAATTTGTCATGTAATAATTAAATATGGGTATAAAATAATTTGAGTAGCTGTTGACTAAACTTTGGATGACTATTGACAAAAAGTATATAATGTAGATAATTCTTGACTAAAATTTGGATAATTTATGGTCAAAACAATGCAATTTAGGTAACTCTTTAACCAAAATTTGGATAAAAATTTAACCAAGACTTATCAAAATTATTTTTTTACTCATATTTAGGTATTGCGTGTCAAATTTATAATAAAAAAATATTAATAATTTGAATATTGTTTGTTTGAGAGATCACATAAAAATATTAAACATTTCAAAGATTAAAATGATATAATTAAAAAATGAGAGAATGAGACAAACTACATAATTTAAAAAACTCCAATATACTTATCTCTTCTTAATTTTCTATCAAACACTCTTTCAAAGAGACAGACGTTGAAATTCGAATCTACTACTTGCTCTAACAACAATGCGAACGGCATTAGACCAACCGATGCCTTTTCCAAATAAGCCATGACAAAGTAAAAGACAATACCCAACCTCTCCGCCATTGCGAGGGACCCAAGTGCATGGGAAAATCCCATCGTTTAAACCAAAAAGATTTCAACTAGGCCAATTTAAGGTTTAAAACTATAATTTTTAATTTTAAACGAGGCATTTTTTATGTTTAAATTTTTTAGGTCTAATTACTTCATACATAATCTCTGTTTACTTCTACAATAATAATAATCCCCCCTAAGTCATGAATTTTTTTTTGGTTGTTACAGGGTGTTCAGACTTGCATCGACTTTTTTTTGAATTCAGTGACTGACCACTGTGATTTGAGTTGGGTTAGATCACGTCCCTAAGAGGGTGGCTAGTCCTTAGAGAATGTAAGATTTTTTTTTTCCTACATGGTGTTCAGACTTGCGTCTATTTTCTTTCGAACTCAACGGTAGACAACTGTGGCTTGAGTTGGATTAGAATATGTCACTACGAGAGTGGCTAACCCTTAAAAAATATGAGAAAAAATTAAATCTAAAATCTCTAAATTACAAAAAGCCGGATCGAACCACTTGACCAACCCACAAGTGATTTCTCTGGTTGTGCCCTATTAATATCAATATCACTTGGTAAGTTCAACACTTCAAACATAGCAACATGGCCATTGCTCTATACACTGATCAGTCTTACCTCCTCTTCTTCATTTGTTTAATTTCTGGTCTTCTGCTTCAGTCCTTCATAAAGAAACGCGTAAAAGGTCACAAAACTATCCAACTCCCTCCAAGTCCACTGGCACTACCAATCATTGGTCATTTACACTTGCTAGGTTCCACCTTACACCAGTCATTCCAAACCTTAGCTTTCCGGTATGGCCCTCTCATGTTGATTCGTGCCGGCACGACAACTTCCTATGTTGTTTCTAATGCCATTGTAGCCAAAGAAGTCTTCAAAACACATGACATCGATTTTGCATCAAGGCCAGAATTCGGGTCCTCGGACTATAACATATACAAAGATACGTTGTTTTCCACTTTAGGGTATGGAAAATATTGGATTTTCATGAAGAAAGTATGCATGATGGAGCTTCTCTCTGCTGCATCAATCAATCGTTTCGCTGATATTCGGAGGCAGGAGATGGTGAAGCTTTTGGAACTTCTTTTGAAGCGATCGGGCGAGGGAGAGTCATGTGATGTTGGTGTTGAGTTAATGAGCATGACAAACAATATGATATGCAGGATGACAATGAGCACTAGGTGCTCAGGAAATGCTAATGAAAGTACAGAGATAAGGGAAATAGCAAAGGGGATTACATTGCTTTCAGGTCAGTTGAGTTTAGGTGAAGTGTTTGGTCCTTTGAAGAAGTATGATTTGTTTGGGGCTGGTAAAAAGGTCAAAGCCTTGTTGATCAGATATGATCAGTTGTTGGATAGGATCATAATGGAGCATGAGAAGAAGAGGCACAGCCAGGACATCAAGAAGAAGGATATGATGGATATTCTCTTGGAAATTTCAGATGGCGATCAAACAGCTGATGTGAAGCTAACTAGAAATGGTATCAAGGGATTTTTCCTGGTTAGCCTCTCTCTCTCTCTCTCTCTCTCTCTCTCTCTCTCTCTCTCTCTCACTCTCTCTCTCTCTCACACACACACATACACATATTACACAACAAGAACAACCACCACCACCACAACAACAGTAATGGTGCTTTTCACTGATATTGGCAACAAAATTTCTGCAACAACAAATGCAATCGTTGTAGGGTTTGGAAGGTTTTTTTTTTAGTTGATGTTGACAACATAGCTCTCAAAATTACAACAACAATAATAGGAGGTTTTTCTCATTGCCAGGTAAATGTCGAAGTATATAAACACTTATATTACTCTCTAGTAGCTTAAGATTTTAGTGTAATTGATGGCTTATCGTGTTATTAGATTATGTGTTCAAATCTCAACACCACTATACAGATCATAATACTTGCACTCGTGTTTGGCCGAAACCTAGCCCGAACGTGAGCGATTGAGTTAAAGTAAACATGTTGGTTTAACAGGATCTCTTCTTAGGGGGCACTGACACCACGAGTGTAGCTTTGCAATGGGCACTAGCAGAGCTCCTTAACCATCCAGATGCATTCAAGAAGCTTACAGATGAGATTGATACAGTCGTGGGATCAAGCAGGCTAGTCGAAGAATCGGACGTCCCAAATCTTCCTTACTTGCAAGCAGTTGTCAAAGAGACCCTCCGAATGCACCCATCACTGCCGTTGGTGTTCCGAAAATGCAGAGAAGAATGCAAGATCAATGGTTACTTGATACCCAAAAATTCCAGGCTTGTTGTCAACCTCTACGCCATCAATAGAGACCCGAATGTATGGGAAGATCCAAACGAGTTTGTTCCTGACAGGTTTCTAATCAGTTCCATGGAGAAATATGCAATTCAGCATCATGATCCGGAGGATGTGAAGGGGCAGAGATTTGATTATGTGCCATTTGGAGGTGGAAGGAGAGGCTGCCCTGGTTCGGGATTGGCGGCGGCTGTGATGCATGTGACGCTGGCGGCGGTGGTGCAGTGCTTCCACTGGAAACTCAAGAGTGGAGATAAGGTTGACATGGAAGAAGGGGCAGGGTTCTCGGCAGCCTTGGCTCATCCCCTAGTTTGTTATCCTACAGTGCGTGTTAATACTTCGGTAATTACAACTTAAGTTATCATAAGATAAAGACGAAGTTACGACTTAATCTGATAATGTTATCACAAAAACGGATTGTTCGGAGTTGATCTTGATATATTTGGATCGATCCGACCTCTTTTTAATCGTTATTAGAGTAAGATTAGATCCCTAAATAGTTTTAATTGTCGGTAAATCCAAGTTTATGATGTGATCTCAAATTGGTTTGGCGCGTTTGGGTGAATCTGAGTGTTGTGGGTGTTAAGAAATATATGGCTCGTTTGGTAGACGTATTATGAGAGGATTAAATATTGGATTGTATTATTTTTTATTTAATCGGAACTAATACTTTGTTTGGTAAGTAAATTTGATACCGTATTAATTTCAAAAATATATATTTATCGTATATTTTTTATACGCTAGACTTGTATTATGAAGGTATTTTAATACCACAAAAGATGTGGTATTATAATCCAACTCAAACGTATTATTTTGCACATTTACCATTATAAACCTCTAATTGATAAAATCAAACTGTCATCAATGTAACAAACACTGATTGAGGGTATTTTTGTTAATTCAACATTAATACGATAAAATAGTTTCTTAATCAAACAACCGATTTGATTAAATAATTACTATCCAACGTTTATGTTTTGTATTACCAAACACTAGATAAAATTATGTATTATTCTAATACCATATTTAGTCTTGTCTTTTGTCCTTCTGTATTGTATTAGACCAGATTATTTTATCTAATTCATCCATTTCTAATACGGCAACCAAACGAGCCCATAGGGTTATTGGTTATTTTGTTTATTAAGGGTAGAATAGTCATTTACTTTCTCTTTATTTAGTCTATATATAGTCTCTTTGTATTTAGGTTAAACCACTTCTTTATATTCAATTGAATTATGCATTATCAATAAAAATCCTAGCCTCCTTTTTTCTTATCTCTTGTATTTCTCTTTTATTAGATTGTTTAACATGGTATCAGAGCAAAGTTTCATGGGACAAGGTTTAATCTCAAACACAGCTTACGTGGATCCAACTTTTTCTTTTCTTCATGGGACAAGGCTTAATTTTTTTTTTTGAGAAGGTATTCGTTCCGTTTTTGCAATCTGATTTTCTTTGTTTTTTTATTATGGCTACTGAAAGAGACGATTCGCTTCAGTCTGTGAGTGTGAGGTTAGATGAAAAGAATTATTCGTATTGGAGTTATGTGATGAGAAATTTTCTTAAGGGTAAAAAGATGTGGGGATATGTTAGTGGAACTTCTGTGAAATCTAAGAATACTGATACAAGTTATGCTATTTTGATAGATGCCTGCGAAGCAAACAATGCAAAAATTATTACTTGGATTAACAATTCTGTTGAGCATTTTATAAGTACACAATTGACAAAGTATGAGACAACAAAGGAGGTTTGGGATCATCTGCAAAGGTTATTCACTCAATCAAATTTTGTAAATCAGTATCAATTGGAGAATGACATACGAACTCTTCAGCAGAAGAATATGAGTATTTAGGAGTTTTATTCTGTTATGACAGATCTTTGGGATCAATTGACTCTTACAGAATTGACCGAATTAAAGACATGTGGTGTCTATATTGCTCGAAGAGAGCAGCAACGATTGATACAGTTTTTAACGGCACTTTGTAGTGATTTTGAAGGACTTCGAGGTTCAATTTTGTATTGTTTTCCACTTCTTTTTGTTGACTCAGTTGTCAGTGAGTTATTGACTGAAGAAATACGCCTTAAGTCTTATTCTGAAAAGAGAATTTTTTTTACTTCTAATCCTTCTGTGCTAGCAGTACCTTCTAAACCATTCTCTAATAATCAGAANAAAGCACATTGAGATCAATTGTCACTTTACTCGTCATCATCTCAAGCATGACACCATTACTTTGCCCTTTGTTTCTTCTTCTTTGTAGATTGCAGATTTCTTTACCAAGTCGCATTCTATTTTTCGTTTTCGTTTTCTNCTTACACAAGGACTGCCTTTGACGAGTGTAGTTTTTGTAAGCAGAAAGGTTATTGGAAGACTCAATGTCCTAAGTTAAGAAAGTAGAATCAATCGTAGTAGCAATCTCAAGCTTGGAAGCCTAACAACCAGTCACAATCTAATGCTCATAGACCACCTCAGGGTTACAAACCACCATAGTCTAATATTGCAGCAGTATCTTCATTAAGTCCTTTCACCGATTATAGTACTTTGACTGAGCAATTTCAGAAGTTTCTCTCCTTACTGCCACAAGCTATGTCTGCTTCTTCTTCCGTAGGTCAGTTGCCCCATAGTTCTTCAGGTATGTCACATTCTGTATGGGTCTTGGATTCTGGTGCTTCACATCATAAGTCTCCAGATTCTTCATCTTTTGCTTCTGTATCTCATTCATCTTCTATTCCTGTTATGACTGCTAATGACACTCCTATGCCTTTAGCAGGTGTTGGTTCTATTGTCACACCTCACTTGTCTCTCCCTAATGTTTATCATATTTCAAAACGCACATTAAATCTTGCTTCTGTTGGTCAGTTATGTAATTCTGGTATTTTAGTCACCTTTTCCTCTTCTTCTTGTTATGTGCAGGATCTGTAGTCTCAGAAGCTGATTAGGACAGGCCGTAGGAAGGGGGGACTATATATTTTGGATGAGTTAAAAGTGTCAGTTGCTGCTACTACTAGTGTTGATTTATCTTCTTTTCGTTTGAGTCATTCTTCTTCTAGTTTTTATTTATGGTATTCTCATCTAGGTCATGTTTCGTTTTCTTGTTTGAGATTTTTGGCATCCACATGAGCTTTAGAAAATTTGCAAACTTGTGATATTTCTGATTGTAGTGGATGTAAACTGGCAAAATTTTTAGCTTTACCTTTTAATCGAAGTATTTCTGTTTCTTCTTCTCCATTTGATTTGATTTATTCTGATATATGTGGACCTTCTTCTGTTGCCACAAAAAAAGGGTCTCGATATTATATTTTTTTTATTGATGATCATACGCGTTATTGTTGGATTTATTTAATGAGACATCGTTTTGAATTTTTTGAGATATATACAGTCTTTCGAACTCTTGTCAAAACTCAACATTCTGCTGTTATCAAATGTTATAGGTGTGATTTGGGTGGGAAATACACTTCTAATAAATTTGATGAGTTGTTTGCCTTAGATGAAACTATTCACCAAACTTCGTGTACAGATACTCATGAGCAAAATGGTATTGCTGAAAGAAAATATAGGCACATTGTTGAAACTGCTCGTTCTCTCTTGTTGTCTGATTCTGTTCCTAGTGAGTTTTGGGGTGAAGCTGTTCTTACTGCTGTAGGTTTGATTAATACAATTCTATCTTCTCATAGTTCAGGTGTTTCTTTTTTTGAAAAGTTGTATGGGTATGCCTCTGATTATTCTTCTTTTAGAGTTTTTGGTTGTACTTGTTTCATTCTTCGTCCTCATGTTAAACACAACAAACTGTCCTCTTGATCTGTTATTTGTGTCTTTCTTGGTTATGGTGAAGGTAAAAAGGAGTATCGTTGTTTTGATCCAATAACTCAGAAACTTTATGTGTCTCATCATGTTGTTTTTCTTGAGTATATACCTTTCTTTTCTATTCCATCCGCTACTCATAGCTTGACTAGATCTAATCTTATTTGTATAGATCCTTTTTCTGAGAAGTTTGATAGTTTGTCATCTCAGGTTTCTACTCGACCAATTCGTACTGATCCTTTTGCAGGCACTGACGCTTTACTCTCTAGCACACCTGAAAGCTACCTCTTCTCCTATGGTCCCTCAAGCTCCATCTGAGATTGTGGATCCACCTCTACGTCAATCCATACGCATTCGTAAGTCCACAAAGTTACCAGATTTTGCTTATTCTTGTTATTCTTCATCTTTTACTTCCTTTTTAGCTTCTATTCATTGTCTCTCTGAGCCCTCTTCCTATAAAGAGGCAATTCTTGATCCTCTTTGGCAACAAGCTATGGATGAAAAAGTTTCTGCTTTGCAAAAGACAGGTACTTGGGATTTGGTTCCTCTATCTCCTGGTAAGAGTGTTGTTGGTTGTCATTGGATGTATAAGATCAAGACTAATTCTGATGGATCTGTTGAGCGATACAAAGTTGGGTTGGTTACAAAAGGGTACTCTCAACAGTATGGTATGGATTATGAGGAGACATTTGCTCCTGTTGCAAAAATGACTACTATTCGTACCCTTATTGTAATTGCTTCAGTTCGTCAGGGGCATATCTCTCAACTTGATGTTAAAAATGCCTTCTTGAATGAAGATCTTCAAGAAGAAGTTTATATGGCGCCCCCTCCTAGTATTTCACATGATTCTGGGTATGTTTGCAAACTCAAGAAAGCGTTATATAGTCTCAAACAAGCACCTTGTGCTTGGTTTAAAAATTTTTCTGTTGTGATCTCTTGTTTAAAAAATTTTCTGTTGTGATCTCTTCTCTTCCCTTGGATTTGCTTCTAGTAGTCATAGTTCTGCTCTTTTTGTTAAGTGCACTGATGCAGGTCGTATCATTTAGTCTTTATATGTTGATGACATGATTATTACTAGTGATGCTATTGACGGTATTTCAGTTTTGAAGACAGAGTTAGCTAGACAGTTTGACATGAAGGATTTGGGTTCTCTACGATATTTCTTGGATATTGAGGTAGCCTGCTCACCTAGAGGTTATCTTCTTTCTTAGTCGAAATATGTTGCAGATATTCTTGAGCGAGCTAGACTTACTGATAATAAGACTGTAGATACTCCCATTGAGGCTAACACAAATTATTCTTCTTCTGATGGTTTACCTTTGTCAAATCCTACTTTATATCGTACTATTGTTGGGAGCTTGGTATATCTCTCAATTACTCGTCCAGATATTGCATATGTTATTTATGTTGTTAGTCAGTTTGTTGTTTCTCCTACTACAGTTCATTGGGCAGCTGTTTTTCGTATTTTACGGTATCTTCGGGGTACAGTCTTTCAGAGTCTTTTACTTCCATCCACCTCTTCCTTGGAGTTGTGTGCATACTCTAATGCTGATCATGACAG